ACATCTCCCTCCTCACACGGCACGCCGTTAGTTCATGCTGCTGGCCCGTCCGCCACAGGCTGCGTATAGACGTACGTAGATGTACATATATATATATGTACACACACACACACACAGAGAGAGAGAGAGAGAGAGGAGGGAAAACGAGAAAAACATCAACTTCAAAATATAAAAATCATGTGCATAATAACTTTTTTTTTGTCCTTTTAAATTCTCTCGCCTCAACCGCCTGATGGCCGCAAGGCATACAGCGGGAAATAAAAATTCAAAGAGGGGAGTGTGTGGCAACACGGAGGAAAACGGAAGGAAGGGGCGCAGCCACCCCCAAGAGCGGCAGGGGAGAAGGCGGCGGAGGGGCACGCGCAGGCAACGGCGCGCAGAGATGACACAAAAAAAAAAAAAAAAAAAAAAAACAGAAAATAAACCAACAAACAAGCCGTCAACACCCCACGCAGAAAAACCCTCAAAAATAAATAAAAAAAAACGATAAAAAAGATGCCCCTGGGAAAATGCCCGTTTCTATCCCCTTCTTGCAGCACAATACACCTTCTTCACCTCTTCTCTCCCCCCCCCCAAATAGACACAGAGGGACTTCTTATTTTCCAGCTGTACGTTTTTTTTCTCTCGTACAGCATAATATCTGCGCGTGCTGCTTCGCTACATAATATTCCTCCCCCTCCCCCCCAATGCGCCGTACTTTCCTCCTCACATGCTCCTGGCTCCTTCTTTCCCTCGTTTTTTTTCCTTCGGTTTCTGTTGCCATCATCCATCTTCTTTCGTTTCTCACGATACGACTGGTACACCGCCTCGCCCCTCTCAGTACGTGCGGATGAGGAAGAAGTGCTCTTCCAAAGGGTTGTGGTCACCCTTCCGGAGCGTCGGGTCCGCCACAGTGGCACCAGAGGAGAAGTACTCGTAGCGCAGCGGGTAGTCGGTGAGGGCCTTCTTCGTCGTGACACCGACCTGCGACGCGAGTTTCCGGAGGTGGTGGGGCGCCGGCAGAGAGCCAAGAAGATGCTTGCCCGTAACGTTGCCGCCCTGCAGCATACACGGGTCCGGCAGCCGGAGCGGCGACCGCGCGTTTTGGGCTCTTGCGTAGACGTCCAGCAGTCCATGCTTGGCCGACTCCACCTCTTCCTCGTGGCCGGCCGTCACCTCCGAGGCCTGCCTCACCTCCGTCGGCGGGACGTCCGGCTTGTCAGCCGCCTCGCGAGTCTGCTGCGTCACAGATGCCAGCTTGGTGAGGGCCGTCTGCACGCGGTTCACCTGCGCGGCGGGGACGTTCTCCGCGTTCGCATCGGCAAAGAGCTCGAGCGTCGGCACAAACAAAATGTCGGGGTACTTCTCATCGCCTGAGAGGAACGAGAGGAAGCAGCGGCACTCCTCATTCTTCGGGTCATTCACGGAGGCGTCCACCTCCATCGTGGAGTAGTGCAGAGACTTGATGTCGACGGTGGGAATGCCGGCCACGACGTGCCTGTCATCGCGGATGACCATCACGGAGTTGTCGAAGAGCGTCAGGTAGAGCGACTCCTCGCAGAGCGTCACGGAGCTCAACGGGGCCGACAGGTCCGCCCCCTTCATCACCAGGTGGCCATGCACGCAGGCGTAAAACACGGTGTGCTTCACGGCACGGAGGCGGAACCACAAGTACAGCGGCGGCTCTGCAAGCGGAGCGTCAATGCGCGGGTCCATCTTCGGCAGGCCCCAGAACTGCGGGGGCCGCATCCCGTCACGAATCAGCACGTCACGAATCGTGGTGTAGATTTTCATGAAATCGGTCTCGTTGTCCGTGCGAATGTACCACGCGAGCATTTCCCCGTCACCCGCGTCCTCCTCCTCAGTAGGCGTGGAACTCGGTGGAAGAGAGCAAAACACGGCGCGCCTATCCACAGGCTGCTCCACCAGCGAGAGCACAGAGAAGTCGGGGTGGCGGAAGCTCCCCTCCACCTTGAAGCAGAAGAGGTCACGCCTGTCAAAGTTGGGCGCCTCGTAGTTGACGTCCACAACACTGGCCTTCGCAATAATGCGCACCACACGCATTTGGTGCTTCCACGTCACACGAAGCCCCGTCTCCTTGTCGCTGCAGTAGAGCATGCTCCTCTCCGAGTCAAACGCAATTTGGCGCAGCGTCCATGATTCGCTGAACTTGCCCTGCTTCTCCACCCACGAAAACAGCATCATTGAAAATTGGCTTGTCTCTCCAAACAACTGAACGAGGCGGGGATGGAAGGTTAAACTTGCGTATCAGATCGCTCCTGAAGTCCCTGGCATGGGGACACGCACCGGCAACGTTAGGAAGGAATACAAAAATAAATAAATAGAAGAGAGAGAGAAAAGAAGAAGACAAGCTGACAGCGTGCGCCGCAGCCTTCGTGCACGTCATCCCCGCGATGCAGCCTTGCTGCACGCCACACGCGCCCCATCCCCAACTATCATCTTCCTCCCTCACACACGCGCAAAGAGCACGCAAGCAAAACGTGTGGTGCATAACAGCCCGCACCAATAAACGCGGGATATCCCTCAAATAACCCAAAAACCTTCTAAAAAAGCCAAATAACAACCAAAAAATAGAAACACCGCCACACAAACACAGAGAAGTAAATACAGCGGCCTCTACCCCAAGAAAGCAGCTTTCTGCCCTCACCACGGCGTGCCCAAAAATCCAAACAGTAACACTCCCCAACAGCAGCACGTGTCCAGCCGCATCGCTGCAGTTCCTGTAGCTCGTGGAGCCGGCATTGTCGTACCACACCTCGTGGGGCTCGTGCTCAAACCCCATGAACATGGGTGGAAGGTGGGGCACAGGATCCCGCATGTGTGTGACGCGGTACACCTCGTGGCCGCCGCTGCAGAACAGTGCGACGATCCAGTTGGCAAACTCAGTGTTGCCCACGCGCGGCGCACCAAACGTGTACAGCTCAATCCTCGGCACCGCGCCGGAGGCGTACGGCCGCGACGCAAATTCTGCAGCAGCGAGCTCGGCCATGGCACCACCAAGACTGTGCCCAGTGATGAGCACTGGCAGCCTCGGGTGCGCCCCAACGAGATCCTGCAGGTACTTCCACATTTGCTCCTGCAA